AGTTTAATCGTGAATTTAAATTTTATTTTATTAAAATTTAATTCTCTTATTTTATAAAAAATAAAAGTTAATCTAGCTAGTAAAAACATAATCTTATGTTATTGTTTTTTTTTTACTAATTCAGTTTGTTTCATATAAATGTCAAAAGAATAATTAGGACACTTTTACTGTTGTAATTAGGTGATAAAAGTTCCTAAATCAAAGTTTATAAAACTTGTCTAAAACATCCTCAAGTAATCATGGTTAAAGACAAGCATGCAGCATAACCTTAATTAATACATATAATTATCAATAATAATGTTTGCTAAGCACTTACGCTACAATGCTGTTGGCTGATACCCTGAGAATTGCTTCTTTACAAAATTACTTTACCTCTTAACCTCAGTTAAATTTCATGATTAATAAGTTGAAAGTTACCTTCACAACATATACAACTTGCTGTCAAGCACTTTTCAGACAATGTAGATTACCTTTGCTTGATTAAATCTTAATTTCCCAAGTCATGCGGCTGACGTAACTAATGAAAATGAAACAAGAGAATATCAACAGTAACTAAAGTATTATACCCTTAACTCAATAATTTAGAGGAAAGTCAATTTAAGAGTAGTTTTTAGTAGTTTTCTCAAAAGTATTATTTCTTTTAATTAAATCAAATTTTATTTGTTCTTGCTTGTAATTATAAAAAAGAAGAAGAAGAAAAAAAAAGAGACTACACTTTGATCATCACATTGATCGCTTAAGCAAATTTACATCTTGCAATAGGAATCTAGGTATTGCAATTTGGGTACATTAAAATATATATTTAGCTAACCAATAACAAGTTGATTTAGTAGAATGAGACATTAGATTCTTTAAACAATGTCAGAGGTTTGAATCTTGATGTTTACCAATGCAGGAAACTAGGTTGAGAGAATCACTCTCGCCTCTATAATATCTGATTCGAATTAATCGATTAATAGATCAGATTACGATGGTTATACAAAAAAAAATAGATACTAAGCTAATTAACTTAATGATGAACCCTTTTGATAACTTTTATATTGAGAATTATTCAGTTGAGCTTTATTCAACGAATCTTACTATTGCATTTTTGGTTACATTCACAAAATCGAAGATTCAAGAGGTTGTAACTCAAGCCACTTTTGCTTTAGTTTGGCTGCCTATTTTTAGGTGAAGGTGCACCACTACTAACTGAACCGGGGCCACTCAATTGACTAGAAAGAGCCATGCATTGTTTGAATCCGCACCAATATTCATGTGCTAAGTCCTAACCATAACAAAGATTTACAAACAAAACCCCTACTTGGTCCTTTGGAAAGACCCCCTTAGCTTTATCTGCGCTTAGCTTTTGCTTGAGCTTTAGCGTACAAAGTAATTCCACCTTTATGTGTCACATTTCGAAGAGTAGTGGAGTTGTACATCTTATTAGACATTTTATTTAAATATTTTTTTGAGAGAGTAATAACCTGTGACACTTGTATTAAAGATGGCCCATGACGAGCCAAGACAGATATTTTGGTGAAATCATAGCCGATTTTGTTTAAGGTACCCACCCCCAACACGATTAGATAGGTTCATCATCATGTATAAACTTTACAAATTGCGTGTGCCATAGTCTAATTAATAAAGCAAGATCAATCCCATTAGTCGTTAGGCCTTAGATTTGTATATTACTTTCCTACATCTTTTGACAGAAATACAAAATTGATAAATGGTAGAACATGAGCCGAAATCAAAAGATGAAATAATTAAACAATTTCACCGGGGGGAAAAAGTGTTGTTTTGATCCCTAGGAAGATATGGTGGTAATGCCGAAACTTTCAATGTATCTTCTATTCAAAAACCACTCTTTTGGGTCATTTTTGGATGATCGTTCTTTTGTCAATGCGGCTGGCTATGTGTTTCGTGGGTGTCTTTTGGGGGTTCCCACTTTCCACTTTGAGCATCCACGTTCATGGAAATAACAAATTCATGCACATCCATTACCATTTTCTTTTTGAGTGTGGACTAAGGTAAAAGAATGGGTCAAAGGGACCCCTTTAATGGGGGCAGTTCCCCCCGCCCCCAAAAAAAAACACCCACAAAATCAATATGCCAAATAAAGGCCACGAAGGCCAATTTGAGCAGTTACATTGCTCAATAGCTCATGTTATTTGAGAAGATGGCAATGGAATCTTTAGGTAGACGATGGGATTGTAGGTTTTTAATAATTATTTAAAACCTTTGCTTAATTCACATTCTTTAGATGAATATTGCTCTCTATACTCTCTTTGTATGGGTTCTTTTAATTATGACATAACATTTTAAATCATGATGTGTAACCCCCTAGACCCGGTCTATGCGTTTCGACTAAGTCTAGTGAATCACATTCATGATTCTTAAAGATATTGTTCCGGAACCATTATTCAATCATGGTAAAATCACATTATAAATGACGTTTATGAAATTATAATAATTTATACTATAAAAATACAAATCATAAATATAATGAAGAAAAACAAATTAATTTAAACATGTCTTAAAAATAATATTTTCGATAAACCATATATAAGTAGCAAAAGAGTAATCTTTATAAAATCCAATACTTCAAAATAAGGCACATGTTACCAAAATAGAGTCAACTTAAAAGATAAAACATTACAACACGATATACTTCAAGAGATATGTTGATCATCCAAGTGCTCAATCAGGTGTATCTAACCAACAGTATCTGAAAGGGGAAAACATTTTCGAAAAGTGAGCTAGGTTCAGTGTGTCCCAATAGTACAATAAAATCATAGTAGATACAGTAAATGAGTAATAGTTCAGAATTTCATCATCAAATCATAATGAAGTTTAACTTTTAAAACTCGTAATTTAAAACCCTTCTCATGTACACCATCCGCAATTCCCCAGAACTGTGTCCATAGGGCTTACCTTAAGCACTCAGCAAAAAGGTAGCCAACCTAAGAATAGGCTTTCGCGCCTGTATCCTTAAGTTCGTAAGTCCGTAAGGCTTACCCTAAGCACACAGCAAAGGAAGCCAACCTAATGAATCATCTTGAGGCCGTGGGCCTACCAAGAGTCACATTAGGTTCATAAAGTTTACCAGCTTGATCAAAGCTGTACCTCCGTAATGCAATACAACCCAAAATCAGTATTTCAAAAATACTATTCCGTAATGCAATACAACCCAAAATCAGTATTTCAAAAATACTATTTATGCAGTAAGCATAATTTCCATAAATCCATATTCAATATTATCATATACCAACAAATAATCATATATCAGTCATATTCCATAAACCATCACCAGTAAATAGGTAGATTAATAAAACATTAAACCATAGCTTTCAATTTACCATATTTCAAAACATATAAAACAATCAAGTAGTACACATGGAACACACCTCGACAATAGGATCAAATAGTAGATCTAGTGATTACTAGTCTTGTTACGCTCTGCTACTGTTTTCGAACGGGTGAATACTGGCACACGTGGTTTAACTGATCTAGAAGAGCTGGGTCGAGCTGTCGAACGATCCGGAGAGTCTCTTGTACCTTCAAACAATAATAATTTATGAACCACAAGTCTTACTTAATTAATCAAAGCTAAAATTCTTAAGTATATAAGCATTTTCCGGGTTTGACTATAAATTTGGAGGATTTCGAGTCTGAATTTGACCAAACGGATTGCGGAATCGGAATCAGGACGTCGAAAAACATAAAGTATGACTTTTCAAAAATTCAAATTATTGGTCAAAATCAAAGTCAACGGGTTTGACTGATGATTTGGAGGCCTTCGAGTTCGAATTTGGTGAAACGGACTTCGGAAACGGATTCAGCACGACGACAAATGTCAAAATAGGTATACTCAAACAAAATCAAATGTCGTTAAATGGCCATTTAAAGCCGGTCAAAGTTATGGTCAAAGGGGTTCAATATCCCATTTGAAAATTCCCACAATGTCACATTTTTTAAAATAATTCCCAGAATGTCACCTTTTTCAAAATATTTCCCAGAATGTCACTTTTTTCACAAAAAAAATCCTAGAATGTCACTGGGTCGAGTCGGGTCAACGGGTCGGGTCGGGTCGATCAACGGTTCGGGTCGGACCGGTCAAACCGGTCATAACACCACTTATCAATTCAGAACTCCCCACGCGCATGGCGGCGCGTGGGGGCGCATGAAGGGTCTTCCAGACTCCAAAAATTCCTGAAAAAAAATTCTAAAAATTATTTTAAGCGATTTTGAGTCACTTACCAACCTCGGTTCAAATTTTTGAACGGTGGAGAGCTCGATTTCACTTCGATCGGAACTTTGACCGCTCCACCTCCCACACGCGCCGCCGCTTACGGAGATAAGGATGACACCGTCGGACTCGGAACGACAACAGGAACATGATGGTGCAGGAGGTGTCGAAAACCAATCAACGATCGGAGATGAATTTAAGATTTTTCCGGCGGTGGTGCTAAAAAAACATCGAGACTTTGACTCGAAATTCACGTCGTTTGACTGCGTTTCGCTATAATTGATTTACTGGGCTTTGTTCACGCATCGAAGATGAACACGATGGTGGTTTCAATTTGACGATCGGATGTCGAACGGCGTCGAAATCAGGGTTGAAAGTATATGGCGAGAGAAAGGAAATATAAGCAAAAACTTGTTTTTGATTTTTGAAATCAGAAACGTTTTTAAAACAATGTTGCCGATATTCTTTGGAGGAATTCAAGGCTTGGTCTTTGAATTTCCTTCAACTTCTAAAATGGACATCAATTTTTTAAAACTTTTAATTTAGTCGCTAAATTTCACCAAAATACACCAATAAATATATATTATTTTTTTTCTCGATTTTCCGGGTTGTTACAAGATGAGTTTATAAAATTTTAAGAAAATTAAATTAAATTATCAATAAAAAGTATAAAAAAATAAAATTTAAAATATGTAAAAATTTAAAATTTTCAAATGAAGATTAGCTCTACTGACCTCTTCTGTTCATCCATTAAAATTTGAGGAAGGAAAAGCAACAGAAAACACAGGTAGATGGAAGATATTCGGATCCCATGTCCTCCGCAGATTTCTTTAGTAATTATTTACCATTCTTATCTCATCATTACAACTGAGCTTGAATCCAGTGAAGAAACATTCTTTCTCATTCATCTTCCGTGTCAAGTGATGCGAACGAAAATGGCTGAAATTTGTAACCTTCTCCTCCATAGAACTTGCCCTGAAACTCAACCCAGTGAAGCCTCAACGCGTGTAAGAATGCGCTGAGAGTTTCCATCACTAACAACACACCAACTGTTGCGCATATGAATACAAATAGACCGATGATAAGGATGATGATATTGTTGAATCTGCGAAAATCAGATTAAAGTAATTAGCATTTTTGTTTCAATTCAAAGTACTTCTAATTTGAGAGAAGAATAAACTACTTACCCCCAGGCCAAAAGTAAAACCTTGTCATAGAATACACTTGACAACTCTGAATGGGCTAGGCTGTGAAATGTAAAATCAAACCAATAAGATGCATTCAAGGGTAAGGCAAAACACTGAATCGGTCCAATTCGAAAAAAATCAAAAACCTACTTTACTGACAATCATCTAACCATTGATTATTACCAAAATAACCAAACCAATTTGAAGTCAGTTAGTTGGGTTGCTTATAACCAAATAGCATTTGTTCAAGCGGTTAAATTGGTTTTAACTGACTTTTGCTCGGCACGTAGCCAACAGGCCTTCATTTGCAAGGAAAGGAAATCCAGATTTCAAGTTGTTACAACCTACCTAAGAGCCCATAACCGCAGATATGATGCTGTATTTGACACTGCACCAAGCACAAATTCAATTGTGTGTATAAGTTGGTGAACAAAGATTTCACTGAACTGAAACTCTTCGTGGCTACTGGAACCATGATGCAGTTCCATTTCATCAGAATCATCAAAGCCAGCGTCCAGTAGTGCATAGGATTGACCACGGTGCCTCTACATCAATAAGAAATGATATTGTAAAGAATTTGATAGATGAAACCGAAAAGCAATTACTTTTAGGCACGGGCTAACTACGAAAGGTATAGGGAAAAAGTGTTGTCCACATACTTCATCATGTTGCTTCTTTAAAAGAAAAGGCTTTGGAAATAACATCCATGGTACAGAAACTAGAGCTGCTAGCAGTAATAAAATCTGTCAAGAAATATAAGAAAAAATCCGTAAAATCCGATGTCAAATAACGCAAGAAAAAGCATTCACACGGTTATGAGTACGTGAATTAAACCTGGAGAAACTTCTGACCGAAGAAAAGCTGGTTTTCACCAAGATCATCTGTAGGACTCAAGAACATATATATCATCACGTGATAAAGATCAGCTTGAGAGCCAGTGCACCATTTCACAACTATGAGAAGAGACAAGTAGCCGAACAGACTGTTCAGAAATATCATTTGGGGAAGAAATTGGTGCCTAAATGGTTTCATTGCGTAAACAAGTTAGTCCAAACCACTGTATTTTTGTTAAGGCAATCAACAAAAGCACATTTTCAAAGAAAACCAAAACAAACAAACTCTGCTTGTTTTTCCCAGGGCACACCAAGCCACGAGTATGTTCCTCGAAAGTAATTATAAAAAGAATTAGTGAGGTTTGATGACACTTTTGTGATAATCATTACAATGTTACCCTCTTTTTCAGTTTCATTTTTTTTCTTTTGGCTAAACTTTACCAGTTAAACCGAGATAAACATTTTATCAAGTATTCTACAAAATGAATCGTTGTGGCTCACCGAATGTTGAGTTCATTTCCATAAAATTTAGCATTGAAGTAGCTCAAAATGATACCAAGATTCATCTGAGCTACTCCAAGCAAAATTGACATCTTCATCTTCATTGAGTTAAGAAATGGTAGTTCACTCCGAGTACCATGCCATTTAGGATCCACACCAAAAGGATAAGTGGTACGAACTTTTACTAAACCTTCTGTAGAAGCATCTCTGCAATGCCACAAGGTGAATGTAAGTGATTCAGAAGGGAGAACAGAAACTTTGTTGGGTTCTCCCATACGGACAAGTACCTACCGGCAAGAAGGATCGCGGCATCCGTAAGCAGAGGACCCAAACAGTTCAAACGGGACCGAAAAAAATTCATTGTATAACAATCCTGTGTAGATTGAGAATAATGCCATCATCATGATAACATAGCGACCCCCAAAAATCATTTCAGTGATGTCTCCGAGTTTCTGTTTTGGGTGGTAAGAAAATAAAAAAAATAAGTACAATAAACAGTACAATTACAAAGAACATGGAGCCCATTGCCAAGATAACCAAGAAGCTATTCATCACTTACCTGGCTAGAAATATTTTTTTCTCTGATTATGAAATATGATGTTGCCAAAAGCAGGCATATACCATGGCCCCAGTCGCCAAACATAACAGCAAAAAGGAAAGGAAACGTGATGATTGTGAATACTCCAGGATTTGCTTCCTGATATTTTGCAATCCTGCAATAATATTAACTTAGGTCAATTCTTTTCCATGATAACTTGGTTTAGAAGTGGCATAAATAGGCCATAGCAGTAGAATGTCTAAGCTAAGAACTCTTCTATGACTGAGGAATCCACAGTCAGCATAACGATTGCCAGATACAAGACAATAGAATTTCAACATAGCCAGTTTATCTCCTTGAATGAAATAGCAGCAACTATCAAATGGACTAACCCATAAGCATCCACGATTTCTTGAAAAGTAGAAGTAAATTTGTTGGTTTGGAAATAGGTAGGTGGTGATTCCTTTGTCTGGAGAACATCAAATATGGTCCCAATTTGTGAGTTGCTGTCAACAGTTGCCCGCTGTAACACATTTTGAATCTGCAAAATCAAGCTAGATGATTCATTTTTCAATTTGGTTACTGGAACTAAGCAGGAATGTAATGCGGCAGAGAAGAAAGATTGTAGATTAAAAAAAACAGACCTTGTTTGTTGCAAAAACAGGGCACCAACCTTCTGCAACAAGACATTTTCTTGTAATATCTATGCTGAGCATGTTCAAAGTGTAATAACCGGATTTTTCTTTCTTCACCTACATAAATTAGAAAAAAATGTTCTGTGAGTTAAGAAAGCACAGAGTTCAAAGGAACTTAATAGAAAACTGTAAGTTTCGAGTGGTTTTCTGTTAGGCCATTTTTAGTTTGGGTCATTTCAAGTTTGGACAGATTTATGAAAAATGTAACTATTTTATCATGCTTTTAGAGTTCAGATTCAGGTTTCATGCTCGGGCAATTTCAGGATCATATTTTCTTGAGTTTGGTTTTTTGGACTGGTTTCTTCATTCCACGACCTCTTAAGGTTAAAACCAGCCACAGAAACTGACAAGTAATCATGTAGATATGAAGTTAAAATATAGAAACATGCCTCAAAAAAGAAGGAAGAAAATCAATTTCAACAAACCAAATGGCTCCACTGCTCAAAGTGATAGGCAATTGTCTGTAACAAGTTGATCTGGTGCACAAGTCCAACATCAATAGTAGTTTTAAGCTCTTCAAGTCTTCCAGATACCTACATATGAGAGATGTTAAATATTCAGCTCTTTATTTGACAAGAACATAATACCGAGATATAGGCCAACAGTGACCTAGGCTAGATGGTATTTGGGGAAAAATTGGGGGACCTTGGGGTTTGGCTCACGCTGGGGTATTCCGATTTGGGTATTTTTAACCCAGGCCTAACCCTTAAAATTTATTTCTATTATTATAATCACCAACAGTGACCTAGGCTAGATGGTAGAGGGATCTGAGGGTCTTAAGATACGAAACACGAATATAGAAATCGTGTTATTATAAATGCATGACAAGAAACATAAATAACAATAACTATACCTGCAGAAGTCTCAGGCTCAACTCGATCACCAGAATGTAGAGTAGCAGACAAGAGTAGACTGTCGAGCCTCAGAAATAGTTGGTCCCCTACTTTACGATCGAGCTTTACTGTCAACCCTAGAAATAGACCTGGAAGTCCTATCCTGACTATGACTCCTAGTGGGAGTTTGAACAAAAGCTTGTGAATGTGTAAGAGTCTGAGTTGGGGTTCGATCGACAGAGGTTGGATGCGGACAATTCCTTAGAAAGTGCTCGCTGAATCCACAACAATAACATGTACCCATCTTCTTACAACAGTCTTCCCCGTGTTGATTTCTACAATTTTTGAGTTAATCGATCGACGGAATCGGCCAAGAGGGGGGTGAATTGACAATTAAAATTTTGGTGGAAGCTTTTTGCAGAAAATTGAAAGTAATTGCATAGCGATTTAGAGTGGTTCGACTTTCTCAATCAAAGTCTACGTCCACTACCTTAGCTATTGTAACATCCCAAACTATGGGTTAGTGACCAAATTGTAAAGTTTCAGAATTTGGTGATTAAAGTAGAAGAATGGATTAGTTCAATGATTTATCTGGAAATAAATCCTAAAAGTTGTTAGTAATTATCAAATGAAGTAGAGGACAAAATGGTCATTTGACTAATAAATGAATTAAAAATAGATATGATAAGGATATATATGTTAGAGGGGATAAGGATGAAGAGATATTCTCTTCATCTTCTTCTTCTTCTTCTTCATGTACGAGAGAAAGAAAGAGCCAAGCTTGCAAAGGTAAGATTCCTTGTTAGCTGATTATTTGTTAATTTTAAGAGTGGGTTTTGATCATTAGGTAATACTTAAGCTTATGGAAAGCTTAAGTTGTCCTAAAATCAAAAGATAAAGAAGTTATGAAAGATTAAAGAAAATGAGTTTCTAAAGGAAATTCTGGAAAAAGAGTTAGTAAGTGAATTTTGAGAAGGAATTTGACTTGTCATCAATCTAATTAAGAAATATGGAGTGTTAGAATTAGATTTAAAACATGTTAAAAATCTGGTATGATTCTTGAAGTTAATAAAGATGAGAGGATATTAAGGTTAAATAAGAGATAATTGATTATAAACGAGTTTAAAGATGTATATGAAAGTTAGGAATATGAAAGGGGATGAAATATGAATCATTTGAGTGAAGAGTTGATGATTTTCGGGTTTAAAAGAGGTTCTGGGCAGAGTGCATCGATGCACATTCATAGTGCATCGATACATCAATGTTAAAACCCAGAAATTTGTTTGAAGGTGTATCGATGCACATGTAGTGCATCGATGCACTCTTTTAAAATAGAAACATCGAATGCAATTAGTGCATCGATGCATAAGGCATGCATCGATGCATCCCAATAATAATACAACATCGAATGTATTTTATGCACCGATGCATCAGTAGTGCATCGATGCATACCCTTATTGAAAGAAGAAATTGACATTTATCTTAATCTAAAGAGTGAACCATTAGAGTATATTAGTTATAATACTAATATAGATCAATATATGATTATGTAGTTATAGAACGTGATCCCGTTCTGAATCAATTGAAGGATTAGAATCGAATCAAAGAAAAGCTAAGGTGAGTGCAATTTAATTGTACTTATGTTATCGAATAAATATTGGCTTGTGATGAGCCAGTGATGGAGTTACTATGGTAAGAAGTGACTCCTAAAATGTTATTTGATTTGTGAATGATATGATGCTTATGTGTGTATGAGTACATGATTACATGTTTATATGAATATGTGATACGATATGAGATTCATAAATATATGTTTATGAGATATATGTTTATACATACATAGGGTATGTGATAGAAGAGAAGGAACATGGGATTATAAGATCAATGATTACACGTATATGTGATACGTGACAGAAAATAAGATATATGTGTTTATAAGAGAAATGATATGATATAAGTTATGTGATTACATGTATGTATTAATACATCTTGCTTGCATTACATGTTAGTGTGATTGTGAATAGGTAGGAAGGGAACAAATGATGATATAAGAATCTATTATAAGATATATGATATGAAATACATGGTTACACATACATGTGGTATGTGACAGAAGATAAAGAACAAGTGATGAGAAATGTATTCATAATGATAATGCCCATGTGATGTAATATGAGAGCTAGTGGTATAGTTGGCATGCTAAGAGTCGAGGGTATACCTATGTTCTACGGAACATATGGACATAATTACCTATGTCTTTCGAGACATATGGACAGTATACCTATGTTCTAAGGAACATATGGACAGTTTACCTAGGTTCTTCGGAACCTATGGACAGTTGCCAAGGATCTTTATGACCTCTGGATAGGTCATTCGGGACATATGGACAGTTTACCTAGGTTCTTCGGAACCTATGGACAGTTTCCAAGGATCTTTATGACCTCTGGATAGGTCCTTCGGGACATATGGACTGTTTACCTAGGTTCTTCGGAATCTATGGACTGGTCCTTCGGGAAGAATACTGAACTAAGGTTCGGTGCCCATGAGGGAATTGATACGAGCTGTGGTGATAGCATTGGTGCACAACCTCAATGTACTCACATACCTTAAGTTCTCACTAGTGTACATGGGCTAATAAAGAGATTTAAACAAACATATTGAACGTGATATGTATACGATGGGTTTATAAGTGGTTTGAAATGTGTTTCATGAACCATATGATGTTATGTGTATTTCTTAATGATAATGATAGAGAATATGATAATGATGGTATATGTTTATGTATGCTTTATGTTATATGAAATATTATATGTTTTATATGCCTCACTAAGTCATCGACTTAGCGTGTGATTGTTTCACACGTAGGTTTGGAAAGCGAAAAGAGAAGTAAAGAGGAACAAGACATATCAGTTCTCCTTACCGAATGTCAGATCAGAAGAGAGGTGAATAATATGTATTTTTGTATATAAAGTTCTAGTTGGCATGTAATCAAAAGAATATATTGTATAAGCTCTGAATAGTTTTGTAAATGTTTTGAATAAGTTAAATGTTATAAAAGTTTTAAAATTACTCACTATTTTATACAAATAAATGTTTGAAAAGTCAATGTGACACTTCGGACTCGTATCCGGGTCGGATACGGGTTGGGGTGTTACATTTAATGGTATCAGAGCTACGGTTTAGCCGATTCTAGGCTAAAAACAAAGTCAAAATTATTTTAAAAAGTATACATGCCGACATAAAGTAGAAAATTTTCTGATCTGATAGGGTAAGAAGTGTACTGTCTTGTTAATATAGTTAAATTATTATGTTAAATAAGATATGTGAATACCAGAGAATGATTTATGAAATTTATATATATGTTTATATGATATGATGGATGATATGTGAACATATGCAATTGACATATGTTATACAATATGAATTGGATGAGCATATGCACATGTGATATGTGATAGAAGAAATGATATGAGCACATGAAAATATGAGAGTTTCCAAAGTGAAACACAAGGCTATAGACCTGAAGGTAATAGCATTCACCTGCCCTGGCCAGGCAGGGAGAAGAGTGAAAACCTCAGGGAATGCATGTATAAGATTAGAGAATGATTCATGATGTTGAATGATATTTTGATGTGTTTACAATGTTATATTTTGTTAACTCATAGAATGAATATATTGAGATAGTTAAAAGATTTAGAAGCACCTAAGTTCAAAGGTGAATTTGAGGAATGTTCTGTTGTTACAGACATTTGGTCAAAGGATATGAAGAAAATGTTAAACGGTTTTCATCTCGCCAAAGTGGAGAAGTTAAATTGAGTAGTTTCATTACTATGCGGGTAAACTAGAGTATGGTGCACAATGTCACTATAAGAACGTTAAAAGATCAAGTGACGTGGTTATTGTTTGTAAAAGAGTTTAAGAATAAGTGCATTAGTGATACGTTTATAAGATGAATGAAATCATAATTATGAATTCGAAACCAAGGGATAGTACTGTGTATAAGCAAGAGTGTGGATATGATAAGAGTTTGTATTCTAGATGGAAAGAGTTAGCATTGGCTAACAAGAGTATGTGATGAAAATGTAATGGAATTATAATATATTGACAGGTTATGATAACCAAATATGAAGAGGATTTGGATACAGTTTTATAGTTTGATCATAGTAAGGTGTTGTGGTGAAGAAGATAAAGATTTGTATGTTTGAAGGAAATACAAGTACAATAGATGATAAGAATGAGGTTCTGTACAAGTAAAGTTGATTATCAAAGTTATGAAAAGATATAGTTTAGTTATGTTATAAGAAAATTTTGATAATGAAAGGATTAAATATGATAAAGGATTATAAGGATGTACAGATTATAAGTTTGATTAGAAGTAAGAAAATTATGTAAGGTTATATGAAGAGATTATGTGTATCGTAATACAGACAAGGATGAAAGAATGAGTAAAAGTTTGGATTGTGGTGAATTAATTAGAAAATGAGGAAAGAAATCAATTGATTGATTTTTGATTTTGAGTGATAAGAATTGATGTTACTGTCTACAGGATAAGTAATATTATATGAATTTTAGAAATGTCAAAGGAAAAAATGCATAATCGAATGAGAGAAAAGACAACAATTGAGTGATATTATTGGTTATTGTTTATATGATAAGCAACAAAAGATAAACGTATAAACGAAAAAGATAGTTGGAAAACTAAAGGATTGAAAAGTAAGTG